CTTGCACTTCCTACCGTTATGAAATTGGTGTGATAGGCCCGATGGCCCCGTCATGTCATGGCGAGGATAGGAACTGCTGATAAAAGTGAAATTTTTTATCTCTTTTTTTTTAATAGCTTTTCTTACCATATTTGTTGTTTGTAAATGCGCTGATACAGTTCAATGCTATGCACCCAAGGAAGTGGAGGTGGGGTTATTCACAAAACATTGTGTTTGTTGTGGCAATGTAGTATTGTTGAGGAGGTGGAGGCGGAGAAGCGGAGGCCGAGTTGGGAGGAAATGTGACCTTGGGCAGAACAGGGGCCGAGATGCCAGCCAATGCATTACGAATTAATAATAATTGTTTTTTATAGCTATTTTGCATTTGTTTTAATATTAAATATTACTGTACATTACGTTTCAACAGGCTTCCATTTTATTTTACTGAACATATTAATGTAATATTTTGCTGAAATGATGTCGTATTACAGTGGAAAGTGGGATGATAAAATTGTAGCCAGAAAGCAATGACTTTCTCTTTCTTTCGTTCAAAGATGTTACCGTAATAAACACCGAATAGTTTTTCATTTTGTAGAAGTTATAAGGCTAATGATAGGATGGGAATATTGTTGTATTATGATGCGAGTGCAACGGTTTTTAACTGAAACCGTTGGCCAATTCGGGTGAAATCTTGTCATGGCCGAAATCATTGTTCTTCAGTTATCACTTTCATTCAAAATATTCCCATTCTATATTATTTCTGAGAATCGTGTCTTCATTCAATTCACAGTCAAAATTAAAATATACTTGTGATATGACCTTTTAATGAAAATCTGTTAATAAATAGTTTTCTTTTTAGCCCAAATTTAATTAACAGATTGATGTTTCAAATGTAATGTAAGCAATTTATGTCAGTATCTATAAATAAACTTTAATAAATGAATACTTTCGTTTCCATCATCCTGTGCTTTCTACATACCATGGATTTAGCTACTTTGGGCTTGGTATGATGATAAAAGATCTGCCCTAGCAGCACAACACCATTACTCACCTTTGGTGAGTGCGTTGGTGCATAATTTCCATTGTTTACTGGTAGTTACTGTGATATTTTTTTCAACTTCTTTCAAACTATTACCCTTTAGAATTAGGCCCCAATTTTTTGTAAATAATTTGGTTTAAGAAACTAAGACTACACAGGTATATCGATAAATAAGGACATGGTTTTTTGGGGGGAGGGGAAGGGCTTGGCCCACATATCATGGTTTTTAACATCCATGTCTATTACATAACAGCGTATGTTAAGGGCCGACTGTATAATATAATCCACTCATATACCACAGAGCCACCCAAAACCATGACACTGGCCAAAATGGGTGTTTCATGTAAAGAGGCTCCAGCCCCCTCAATAACAGACCTGATCCAGGGGTAGGGGGGAACTACACCTTCACAATGGATGCACAAATTTACTAAGCAAGATTAAATTTTCTCCAAGCAGTAAAAATTTGCCTCCCCCTCTTTTGCACCCTCAAGGTTACCTCAGATCACTAAACATTCAACTGTTCCTTCATATTTGGAAAGGTAACTTCACTTTTTTATTATTAATATAACACCTGTATATTCCCAAGTACAAAACTGTGAATGATAAAAATATATTATTTACCCAAAAACAATATGTTCTACATTGTTTAATACTTACTTACAACTATTGTATGTTTATCTACAGTAATACCCCACTTTACGCGGTTTCACTTTCCGCGATTTCGCATTTACGCGGTACCTCGCCAGAACCGAACTTTCACTTTACGCGGTGCATCTACTCATATACACGGGGCAGGCAGGATGCGCACAAGGTCGCCCAGTCATCAAAACATTACCGAGTTCTTCACCCGCCACAGCCGGCCCAAGTCAGTGATAGTGAGAATATGGACTTTGAGGGGTTTGACAAAGAGGCCCTGCAAGCCTATGTGGTGGATAGTGATACAAGTGAGGGCCAATAATCTGCCCTCTGCCTCGGAACCAACCCCCCATCCCCGTGTGCCCAGCCATCTTTTCTACTTATGTAAGTGTTAAAAAACCTAATATTATTGATATTTCTCTTAATTATTAATTGTGTGTGCATACCATCATAAAATTAAGATGTTATTTTTACTACAACATAGGTATTGTGTCGGAAAAAGTGGAGTTTGGGGGTCGGGCCAGTCTCTATTGGAATTAATCCCATATGTTCTGTTGTTCACTTTAGGCGGTTTTCACTTTCCGCGGTACCTCATGGGTTCAATTGACCGCGTAAATCAGGGTACTACTGTATTTTTTTTTAAATAAATAACAAACTCAAAAAATTTTCAGTTTGGATATTACAAATTACCTGTACTGGCATTATTATTTCAGGATTCGATAAAAAAATAATTGTTCTAGAATACAGTGGTCCCTCGGTTAACGAGCGCCTCGGTTAATGAGATTTCGGTTAACGAGTTACCTTCCATAAGATTCTTAACTTCGGTTAACGAGCAATCCCTCGATTAACGAGTTTCTTACGAGCCGACCTCCACATGTTTTAGCTTGCATTTGGAGGTCCACCAGCTGTAGTATTAGTCCGCCAATACAGTAATCGGTTCTAGGGCTTAAATTCCTTACCCTTTTAGTAAATATCAAGAAGTTTACACTATTCAATAATTTTAAAAGTTTAATATTAAATTTTTTAGTCATTTTAACAATTATTGAACATACAGTCAACCCTCACTTTACGCGGTTAATGTAACCCACAGGGTACCGCGGAAAGTGAGAAACGCGTAAAGTGAATAACATAACATATGGGATTAAATGAAATAGAGACCAGCTGACCCCCAAACTCCACTTTTTCCAACACAATACCTAAGTTCTAGTAAAAATAACATCTTAATTTTATGATGGTACATGCACACAATTAATACTTAAGAGAAATAGAGAAATACACTGCCAAGTTAATGTCCATTCAAATAATGGACTCAACTCCCTCCCCCACTTCTCACACTACACTGCGGGCTCTTCCCCCTCTGAGAAATTTTGGGGGTAAACCAGGTATAGTAATAAATAATACCTCAAACTAAAGTTAGGATAATATAATTGACATTGCTGGATTCCTTGTAATACCAGGAATATTTTGAATACAAATGTCATATATTTTGCACAAAAGATAACATTTACTCAGAGTAAACATTTTATCTAAAATTTGTATGTCTAATGCAAAATCTATGATGTTTATATTCAAAATGATCATCAAATTGTAAGAATTCCAGCAATGTAAATTATATTCTGGCCGGGTAATTTGTATGAATTTTATGAGCTAAAACAAATATCTTCAGTTAATAAAAAAAAAAATATTCTTCATGACACTATCTGTCAATCAAAGTACCCCACCTTGCCTCCCCCCTCTTCCAACCGGCCAGATGGTCGGTCCGTCCCAACCCTCCCCCCCACCCCCCACCAATCCCTCCCTTCAAGAGAAAGGTTGGGTGAAAAAACTAGATTTTAACATTTAGTATTAAATAATACCTCAGATTAAAGTTAGGATAATATAATTGACATTGCTGGATTCCTTGTAAAACCAGGAATATTTTGAATATAAATGTCATATATTTTGCACAAAAGATAACATATTTACTCAGAGTAAACATTATATCTAAAATTTGTATGTCTAATGCAAAATATATGATGTTTATATTCAAAATGATCATCAAATTGTAAGAATTCCAGCAATGTAAATTATATTCTGGCCGGGTAATTTGTATGAATTTTATGAGCTAAAACAAATATCTTCAGTTAATAAAAAAAAATATTCTTCACACCATGGTGTCAGGTGGTCGGTCGCTGGTCCCTCCCTCCCTCCCATCCCCCACCAAGCCTCCCTACCAGATGAATGTGTGGGAATACCAGACTGTTTACCTTTTTAGTAATAAATAATAAATCAGACTAAAGTTAGGATAATGTAATTGACATTGCTGGATTCCTTGTAAGACCAGGAATATTTTGAATATAAATGTCATATATTTTGCACAAAAGATAACATATTTACTCAGAGTAAACATTATATCTAAAATTTGTATGTCTAATGCAAAATCTATGATGTTTATATTCAAAATGATCATCAAATTGTAAGAATTCCAGCAATGTAAATTACATTCTGGCCAGATAATTTGTATGAATTTTATGAGCTAAATAAAAAAATTATACTTCACCCGTGTAAAGGGGTACACCCACCGCGGAATGTGAGCATCCTGGGTTCTGGCAGGGCACTGTGGAAACGCGGAATGTGGGACCGCGTAAAGTGAGGGTTGACTGTACTTGAAGTACAGGAAACTAGTTTTATGAGCGCCAAACAGCCTGTCAACACACCATACAGGCATCAGTCTGTGTCTTTTCAGTGGAGGTAACATCTTGCTTATGACTCTCTTCAACTAAATGCTTTTTTTCTGTGTTTCCAGTCAAATTATTGGTCATTTTGAAATTTATTTTAAACATTGACAATATATAATGCAGTGCAGTGTTGATTTAAAGAAAATAATCTTGAATTATACCAAGAGAACTAAAATTTTATGGGTGAAATGGTGCCATGGGGTGACTTCTCTTCCACCCCACTGCCTTCTCTTCTCCCTTCTCCTCCACCCCCATTCTAATTCCCATCATCATCATCATCATCCAGGAGCCTTCTACATACACACCTCAAAGTAAGTGTACTTTTCTACCTTTTTTGTTGAAATTAGGCAATTTTCGGTGAGCTGGAACCAATTACCCAAAAACCCATTGAAACAATGATTTCGGTTAACGAGCAACCTTCTAGAACGGATTGTGCTCGTTAACCGAGGGACCACTGTACTGTACTGTGATTATCCCAGTAATCTTACTGTCATTTTTATCATTGTTACCTTCCGCTGCCCCCAGAGGGTTTTAAGCTTGCCTTCATTATTAATAATAGAAAAAATTAACTACTAAGACAGATTCAATACATTTACTTCAAGAAATCTTGTGATATTTATATAACTTACATGTGCCAATTCATCTTCTAATTCTGCTACCCTTTCTAATGCTGCTGTTTTAGTTTCACTGTCTTCCATGAGAGCTGCAACATCAAAAACGTTGTCAAGATATGCAGAAATCTGAATCTGAAAAAAAAAAATTGAATTTGTCAGATATTTTAAGGGAGATTCTATAATTGAGAATGAAGTATAATAACTTTTTTTTTTTTTTTACTTACACTGTGCTACTTCACAGCACATAATGTTTGTTTGGATAATTTCTGTAGCATATTTTTCTTCATATGTGATTTACCCAAGTTGTACAGTACTGTACTCCAATGTTTTCAATGTCGACCAAATAAATATGAAGATAAATGTACTCAAACCTTAAAACAAATTTCCCTCTAAAGTTAATAAAGTAATTAGTGCAAATTTACCTGTAATTCTTCACTCTCATGATGTCTAAGCTTCTCTAAAAAATCATCTATACCAAGCTGTGTGAACTCGTACTGAAGATGAACACGGAAATTCATGTCCTCCACGCTGTGAACCACAATGTTGATGAACTGCATACATGCTACCTATTTAGAGAAAAGAAAACAATAATAAAATTACAGCAATTATAACTCATCTCCAGCCCCTTTGTTCTCTAAGATACTGTGTATGTTAATGGAATATAATGGAAGAATGAGGATGTAAAAAATGTTTGATAAAAGTAAAGCATACTAACAAACTTCCTCCCTGTGCTTAGAGCACCCTTGATGACTGTCATCTTTAGCAATTTCACAGCCTCCATCTCTAAAATCTAAGAACTTTGGTAAGAGCCATCAAAGGGAGAAGAGGAAATCCTTTTCATCTATTCATGATCCAAAGGAAAAAGGATTGCCCATTCTCTCTTTAGTGGTTCTTGCTGGTTGGTCACATTCATACATTGGCAATACATTTTCAAGGTGTATATCTTTAGGGATTTGGGATAATCTTCTTGATGACAGTATTCAGGATCACGTCCAGGGTCCACTGACCATGTGCCAGGTTAAAGTTAGGTGTAGAAGTAATAAATGAAGACTCAACATTTTTTCTATTGAAGCTACAATTGGACTTGTAAAACAGAGCTATGCTTCCAATCTATTGGAATAGATTGGAATAATAACTATTTTAAGTCCAATACTGTACAGTGTATATCACTGTACAATAATCTATGTACCTCATTAGTGCTCAGGATACTTTCCTGGATAATAAGAGTGCTATCCAGAACAGCATTCTAAGGGATCATTATACTGTACCATTGCATAAAAAGAGATGCATTCCTGATGATAATTTTTACCAATGAGATATATACAGCACTATATTGTATATGAAGGATACAGATATTAATAAACACAGATTATTACAGTATCATATATTTACTAATTAATGATTAACAGATAAACAACATTGAATCATGAATAACAGTAGTGTGATGAATAATAGTGACGATTGTATTCAACCGAGTGAGAGATGCAGTGTGTGGGTAGGTGGGAGGCAGGAAGTGGAAGGGAGTACGGAAGCAGTGGATATCGTACGGCTCTGCTCTGGTTAAAGCTAATCCATCTCTGCATCACTGAAATTATGATTTAGGTGGTGATAATAGAGCTAGTTGTGATGATGGAGGTGGTGGTGATAAAAAATATGTGGTAAGTGGTGAAGAGGTGATGCATCTATCAGTTTCCTTGGTAACAATGCACCTGAAGCACTGCCAACCTCCTAAATTGGGCTACCAACAACCATGACATCATCAACCATACCAAGACCATGGTTATGCACATCAACCTCTACTCTGACCTTGTCCCACTTCCCTCCATTACTTTAGGCCCCAACACACTCCAGGTTGTGGACTCCACCAAGCTCCCCGGCATCATTATAGATAACAAACTAAATTGGGAAAAACACTTCAGTACAATTGTCAAATCTTCCAGTTTTCGTCTCCACATGCAAGATTATTATCTCCCCTTCCTACTCCACATATTAAGAAGTGCTCAACACACTGACCCTCTCGGATCTCTCTGATCATCACCACGACCTCATCTGCAAATTTGGTGAGAAGCTTCTGCACCATCCTCGACACCACAACCGCATCCAGCCCATACGAGCACATACTGATCGCTATAAGAACAGCCCATTCCCAACCATTGTAAAAATTATCAACAGCTCGTAGTCAACCAGTGTGTTCACTCCCAGCCAATCTTACCTTTTTGCACTGTCACCATGTTGAAATGCCCTGTAGTATGACCTTCTACACACCTTCATAATATATATCATATTTGTATCACTTATGATACTTATGTATTATTTGTCAATCAAGTGACCCATTCCCCAATTATATAACTGTATATTTTCAGCCTTCTGGCTGCCATGCTCTTTCAATAAACTGTTAATTATTATTGTTATTATTATTATTATTATTATTATTATTATTATTATTATTATTTATTATTATTCATATTGAACAACTGATATCTACCCACAAATTTGATTTTAAGTATAAATGAGCAATGTTGTATCTGTTTAACATCTTAAAATATGGAGTCAGAAAACAGAAAGGTTGGGGTGATAAGAGAGGTGGAGTGGAAGGGAGTGGTAACACGCATTGGGTGTTGTCGAGCGCTCCTCAGCAGCGGATCTCCAACCCGCCACCACACATTGTGTTTCAATTAACCACACACTATTTTATGTCAAGAAAATAAGACCTACACTTAATATAACAACTTTGTGGTGGTCATGGCTGAAGGGTATATCTTGTTTGCTTTCCTAAAAATGGTTCTAACAGTCAATGTAGCCAAGTTGAAAGCAGCACCAACATCCACCTGACGCTCACCAGCTTCCAACCACCTCAACACTTGTAATTTTACATTCCATGGAGATAATTTTCCATGGCACTTTAGATGCACTAGCAGCATTAAAACTTGCAGGCTGCTTTCCAGACATGAGTAAAAAATGGTCACTAATATTAAAAAATGTGTCCACAGTGAAAGCAAAACAAATTTTTACTGTACTGTAAACAGAGCGCTTGGCGCCGATTAGCAGAGTGCATATAAACAAAGAGAGCTGCTCTTTATGTGTTGAAAGTGTTCAGACTCGTGACTTTTGACTACTTTTATTTTATTCCCCTAGAACTCTCAAGATGCAAACAAGAGCACTACAATGAAACAGTGTTCTATGGGGTAGCGCTAACCGGGTTATTGCTATAATGTAAACTTTATGTACAACAGAAATTAATGCAAATCCTACTTGTCTTTCTTATGACATAGAAGAGTGTAGAGGTTTTTTTCATCTTCAGCTTTGAAAGTGATCTCTCACCAGATGCAACAGTTACAGGTACAGTACTGGACAGTGAGAATAGTGCCAAGTACTACACATAAAATAAGGTGAAGGGGTGTTGTCAAAGCGGTTATTTTTTTTGAGGTTGTTTATATAACTCAAGAATGCTATAGAATCTGTCTCCCTCAAGGTACAGACTCATCTTTGCATCCCTTTTCAAGGTCATCATTATCACTCATTTTTTACAAAGATTTTTCATACATGAATCCATAACTGTACTTAAACTGCACCATTTGCTTTAATCTGTCATCTAAATGAGATATTGTTTCATCACTCAAAACCTTAAAGAACCAAATGTGAAATTTGTATTTTGGATTAAGTATGGGGTTATCTGATGCTTCATCCAAGCAAAATCTTTGCTTCTTCCTCATATGTTCCTCTGAGAATTTTATCTTAATTAAAAACAAGGGAATACTAAAGCATAACTAGCCTTTACAGATCAGTACAAGAGAAATAAAAAAAATCTTATCCAATATCCATAATATCTCTTCACAAATGAAAATTTACAGATTTGGCCCCCCTCCCTTTATGCCACTACAATACTAGTACTGTACAGTACAGTCAAAGTGCACACCACTCAGTGATATCATGACTCCCTTAACCACCAGGAGCAACTTTTGCTCTCAAATAAATATTTATTAAAGGTATGAGTGTAACAAAAAGGTTTAAAAAATTTGTCACTGTGGTGGGATGTAATCCTAGACAAGGTTCTTCAAACTCCCGAGCACGAGCAGTAAATATATTCCATAAGTACAAGACTTGGCAGGATAACCAACAGGTACAAAAACAAGGGCAAGCAAAAAGTACTCCTTGTCGTAGCCAGGCCTGCGCTGATCAGAGAATTTAGCTAGCTCGGCAGGGAGAGTTGCTAGACATTACTAGGACAATAAATGAGATCTCCTAGTTACTTGACAAGTGCGGTACAGACATAGTACATCGGGACATAGTAAGTAGACATAGGCATTAGACATAAGCATAGATATCAGACATGCTATAATAATATGTAGTAATACAGACATGTGAATAAATGGTACAATGAATGGTAACAGAGTCTTGCCGTCAGGCGTGTTCACATATCTTGGTATTTACATATCTATACAGTCACCACAGTTAAAATTAAGGGTTTGCCTGGTTTTACACCTGTACACTTATGGGGACTATAAATGAGTCACCTCAATCAGCCTTGAGGTTATACAGTACAGTTAATGGCACTAAATATAAAATAAGAAACCTAAATTTTCATGTTAAAAGTAAATATTTGAAAATTAGAAAACTATGATAATGGAAAGGTGTGATGTTACCAGATATCAACATAAGAAAAAGGCATTACTAACCATAAATTCAATGTGGAAGCACTCGTAGTTGGAGAAATAGGCCATAAGGGTCTGGAAGCGCTGAGATTCACAGCACACATCTTTGAAGCTATCAAAGGCATTAAGTATGATTTCATGACCACCTTTGACTAAGCAGATGGCAGCTAGGAGTTCTAGAACAAGAGCTTTTGTCCTACAAAGAAAAATAATTAAAATAAATTATCAAAATAATAATAACAATGAATATGAAGAAATACATTGACTCATTTTTACATTAAAGAAAATACAATACAGTAGTAAACAACTCAATGTATAAATACATAATACAGCGTACAGTAACAAAGCACTTACCGTAAACTTCTGTGATTGAGACTGAGTGCAATACAGCTGATTGCTTCTCGATGTTCAAACACCAGATTGAATCCATACTGATAAAGATGACAACTAAATTAATAATCTAGTCAATAAATAATCGCTGTAAATACTACATAACAGAGAGAGAAAAATATTGACTTTATTGTATTCCTTGACCCTTAAAACACACACACAAAAAAAAAAAACATGCACGCATGCACGCACACGCACGCACACACACGCGCACACACACACGCGCGCACACACACACACACACAGAATATGTATTATTTGTAATGATGATTGTTCTTTCAATTATTAATATACAAATACTGGCAAAAACAAGTACAGTCAACTCTCGCTTTAATGCGGTCCCACTTTACGTGTTTCCACGTTTACGCGGTACCCTGCCGAACACGGAATGCTCACTTTCCGCGGTGTGTGTACCCTTTTACGCGGAGAGCGGCGCGAGCAGGGTGCGCACAAGGTCGCCCAGTCATCAAAACATTACCTACTTCTTCACCCGCCACCCACCACAGCCGGCCCAAGTCAGTAATAGTGATAATGATAGTGAGGATATGGACTTATATGGAATTTGAGGGGTTTGACAAAAGAGGCCCTGCAAGCCTCTGTGGTGGATAGTGATACAATTGATACAAGTGATACAGGTGAGGGGCCAATAATCTGCCCTCTGCCTCGGAACCAACCCCCCATCCCTGTGTGCCCAGCCATCTTTTCTACTAATGCAAGTGTTAAAATTTAATATTATTGACATTTCTCTTAATTATTAAGTGTGTGTGCATACCATCATAAAATTAAGAAGTTATTTTTACTACAACGTAGGTATTGTGTCTGAAAAAGTGGAGTTTGGGGGTCGGCCGGTCTCTATTTCAATTAATCCCATATGTTATGTTGTTCACTTTACGCGTTTCTCACTTTACGCGGGCCGCTGTGGGTTCAATTGACCGCATAAAGTGAGGGTTCACTGTACAGTAATAGGAAACAACCCTATCACTCAGTTCCCTCACCACAGGAGAGTGTGACGTTGCCACATGAGCAAGGAAGGCTTGGTAGAGGGTAACATTACACCTGAAGGAGATTGTACAATACTGGATATGACTCCATGTGCTTATGGTGTTACAGCTGTTACTGAGGTTTGTTTAGGGATTGGAAGCATTTGAGATGTTACAAAAAAATGGAGTAGTTTACTTGCATTGCTGTATGAAACCCATTAATCGTAAAACTTTCAGCATTACCAAATTTTGCCTACTGTTTTATTTTTATTTACCATCCAGAGCCACACAGATCTATTCAATCAATCGCAACATTACATGGGCTGGGAGGTGGAGGAGGGAAGGGAGGGAGGGTGCAGTAAGACAACTGCAGGACCAGTCAGCAACAACATGTATATTTATTTATAAAACAGATTTGTTGTGTTTTCAAAACCTGACATTATTCAAATATATACAACAAATACATTCATAACATGTATGTAAAGATGACTCTTAAATAACAGTTTATATTGGAATTTTGAAACTTCTCTACAGTAAAGTGTTACCAGCTTATTTGACCCACACAAAAATCTTGACAGTCTACTCGTAGGCCTATTGTTCCAGGTGGATTAACTAGGGAAGAAAATTTAACCTAACTCAGAGAAGACAATGTCCAGTTTCAAGGGTGGATCCAAGAATATCAAAAGCCCACCCAGCTGTTTTTTTTTTAGTTTCTGTAAGCCCCCCTTTTTCTTTTTAATCTGACCAATATCATGGGCATTTTGAAGCCCTGTACACTTGATATTCGGAGATATTCTGAGGTCAGTAGTAATAAGTTTTTATCATACAAAAATGTACAAAACTGCATTAATGAAAAGAATTGGAATTTTCTGAAAGGGGGAGTCCGGACCCTCAGGACACCCCCCTCCCCCTCCCCCCACATGGATCCACCCCTGAGTTTTTAAGTCTCTGGTTCTCTGAGATCCAGTTTCAAGGGTTTATACTGTACCTGTATAATAATATTTTCTTACCTTATTGTTCATGATTGCTCTCATACACATAATACAAACATGTATATCATCTTTAGAGTCTCCCATATTCAGTTTCTGCACATGACGTGATGCTCTTTTCATTCGAGGGGAGTCGATTTCTGCTGAAGGCTTAAGTTGCCCATTGAGGTTCCTAGTTTCTTCTTCATCTTCTAAACTTTCTCTTAGTCTCTGTTCGTGCCTAAAGGTAAATAAGAGACAAGAATTATTACATAGAAATCTTAAGGCTACTACTCTCATATGAAAAGAATGTAATTATGCACCAATCATTGTGAATTCAATAATTTGTTTCCTTGTTTGCTTTTACTTTATAGTGAACTAAGGAAAGTACTGTACACATGACAATGTACCCTGACAATACTGTATAAGGGTCTCCTCAAACAATTGACAAACCCGCCAAACTTAAATTTTTATCCATTTGATTGGGGAAGGCAAGGGGATTCTTCTGAAACAGAAAACACAAAATTGAGGATATGGAGGTGGTCATCAATTATGCACCGAGGGCCTCATATGACATACAGGTAAACCTCGATAACTGGCGTCTCATTCAGCGATATTCCACTTTAACGATGGTCATGAATTAAGACCATCTGGCTATATATGATAAAAAAATTCACTTAACGATCTGCATCAAATATCCATTGGTTGGATTTTTTTTATCTCTAGTGCAAACTCTAGGTTGTATGTATTCAAATTAATTGCTGTCATGCATGGATTCCAGCAATGCAAATTGTATTTTTCTATGTCAAGTCAGTGACATTTTATAATGAAATAATATTTAACCTTATGCACCACCATAGGTAATGCATCTTTTGCTGCACTTGTCAGCCTCAGTAATATATACCCATGAACTGCCACACGGCCAACCCGTGCATTATAGTCCTGCACTTGTTTTTTGTTGATCGTATCTCATCATCCTGTAACTCCACGATTATTGTTCAGCATCATTGGCTATACCCGGTATGTACATTGTAATTATCCTTTTTTTATAGTGAGAGGACAGCACTAAATTTAGATTGAGCTATGTTATGGTGACTGTGAAGTGATATTTTCTATCAATGTTTTTGTTATCATCACTCGCTCTCTTTTTGTGACTAAAGTGAGCAGTGTAACTTTGAAAATGTCTGAAAAGGCCAAGGCATCCAAGACAACTGTGTCTCTGAGGTGAAACTTGACAATGTAAAGCAGCACGAGACTTCCCAGAGGTTGTGTGGGAGTCAGAGTGACGTCTCCACTCCATCTACAAGAGTCCTCCTTAGCCTCAAAGGGGACATGTGATGATGACCAGACATGTTCTTCATGATGTGGTGAGTGTTGTTTAATTGTTTTGTACTGGTAGTAGTATTGTAGGATTTCTTTTTGTCAGTGATACATGTGTGTTTGGGGACTGGCTGGGAACATATCCCATTGAACCCCACGATATTTCACTTAGCAATGGGTTTTTCAGGAACCTAACCCTATCCTTTATCAAGGTTTGCCTGTATATTCAGCCTTGGCATGACCAATACCAATACACCCTTTCTCTTCACCACAATGTTGCTTCACTCTCTCTCTCTCTCTCTCTCTTTTACAGGTATTTTAACGGGGAATGTTCGGTGGATTTGGCATCCTGTGTACCGCCGGCAAGGTCATGGACTCATAACACACGTCTTGCCCGCGGTGCCCACCATTTCTCTGTGGATGTTGGTCACACTAGAATAACCCGTTATAGTGCATCCTTCTTTCCTCACACAGCCAAACTGTGGAATGCTTTGCCTTCTTCTGTGTTTCCATACTCATACAATGTCTCACTTTAAAAAGCTGATTTTCCAGCATCTTCGTGTTGTAGATTAATATAATATTTTTATTTTCTATTTTTAATTTCTTTTTACGCTTATTTTTTTGCCCCCCAGGCCCCATTGTGGGTCAATGACCAGTGCCTGGGTGGGCTATTCCCCATAACAAATTAATAAAATAAATAAATAAAAAATAATAAATAAAATAAAAACAGACAAATGGGCCTGCTGTGTCACACATGACACAGATTGAGTCAACAAAGGTACAGCATATCCCCTCCTATGGTCTGGATATACTGGCTCACACCAAATATCAGTCACACATTGCCTCCTCATTGAAGAGTCAAACCCAAGACCATTGGACTGTCAATTAACTGCAATAAGCACTCTATCACTGTAGTGTGATACGTAAATAGTGATTGGAGTACAGTATATTGATATAATAAATCATAAGATGTGACCAATATATATATACAGTATTACCCCGTGTAAAAAGCTTTACACGGTTTCACTTTCCGCGATTTCTCAGATTTCTCATTGCGATTTCTCATTTACACGGTACCTTGCCAGAACCGGACTTTCACTTTCCGCAGTGCATCTACTCTGCATCTACTCATATACGCGGTGAAGTATAATTTATTTTTTATTTATTTTTATTTAGCTCATAAAATTCATACAAATTACCCTGCCAGAAAATAATTTACATTGCTGGAATTCTTACAATATGATGATCATTTTGAATATAAACATCATGGATTTTGCATTAGACATACAAATTTTAGATCTAAGGTAATAATTTGGTTTACACAAAGCAAATATTTTATCTTTTGTGCAAAATATATGAAGTTTACATTCAAAATATTCCCTGACCTGCAAGGAATCTAGAAATGTCAATTATATTATCCTAACTTTAGTCTGAGGTATTATTTATTACTAAACGTTAAAATCTAGTGTTTTCACCCAATCATTTCTCAGAGAGGTAGGGGCCAGTGACCTGGGAAGAGGGGGGATTTGAGTCCATTAGTTGAATAGACATTAACCTGGCGACTGTATTCCTCTTAAATATTAATTGTTTGAGCATACCATCATAAAATTTAGATGTTATTTTTACTACAACATAGGTATTGTGTTGGAAAAAGTGGAGTTTGGGGGTCGGGCCAGTCTCTATTGGAATTAATCCCATATGTTCTGTTGTTCACTTTCCGCGGTAACCTGTGGGTTCAATTGACCGCATATATATATATATATATATATATATATATATATATATATATATATATATATATATATATATATATATATATATATATATATATATATATATATATATATATATATATATATATATATATATATATATATATATATATATATATATATATATATATATATATATATATATATATATATATATATATATATATATATATATATATATATATATATATATATATATATATATATATATATATATATATATATATATATATATATATATATATATATACAATGGAGACCTGGAGGGTCTCTCAGTTTCTGTCTTTTAATCGAAAGAAAATTTATTCTTAAGGATGCACAAGGACAGAGAAAACTACATACCGAAGCATCATGAGTCTGAAGGTAAGATAATCCACCAAAACGTCAAGTCCTCGGTTCTCTTCATTTAAAAACTCCCTCACCCATCTGTAAGGATACCATGAAAATTATATTACCATACTAAACGGTGTATACAAGTCGTCATCAGACCTAAAACATGAAATAAAAAGCAGTTGCATCATTATCAAAGCCACATAATGAGAAGCAAAGTTGAGTACAACAAGAGGTACAATACTATAGGCACCTTACAAAAAACAGGAATTGCTAACACGGAATAATAAATTCTCGGTATTGAATTATTAATTGCTAAAAATTACTAGTACAGACAAATCACAAGAGTAGCAAAAGTTTAAAACCAAACATCAAAGATGAATACTGTATACAGTACAGTAGAATAAAAAGAGAACCAAGTATGTTACATATCAGCCAGTTAGAAACAGAGTTAAGCACTGGGTGCCCAGGAATGGCTGGACTTTGTAGGAGACTCAAGTCATTTCACCAGTGGAAGTGGTAAGGGCTGTCATTTAGTTTAACCAACAAATGTTGCATTACAGTGATTACATTGAATAAATAAGAAACTCACTATTGCAGTTCTTCAGGAACTCAATCTTTATACTTAATCCAGGTTTGCAAAGTGTTCTCTCACAATCATCAATCCTTGTGTTGCGGCCATTTTCCATGCTCTCAATGAAATTTGCAGAAGAAAATTCGCTTAACAACATGGCTAGTTTGTTTTTGAGGGTATAGTACTAAGGGCCTTGTTAGTCGATTCCCTTAAATGATTATCAAAAGTTAAATTTTTTAATTTTTAGCAATTAACGAATCAATGTTTCAAGTGTTCAGTGTTAGTATATGTTTTCTTGAGGCACTTATTGTAATGTAATGAACCCCTTGTAATTAATTTTATTTGTCATACCGAGTTTTTAATATTGATGTTACGATTATTGTACTTTTTTAATGTTTTATGTCTGATGACCCAAAATTATTACACTTATTTATTTATGAATTGTCACAAAAGATACAGGTACAGTGATATCCCCACTAGCCAGAACAATTGATACAAAACTCTTCCGGGGATGAAAGATTTTATGGTAACGAAACGACTCTCGAACCCGGAAAAAATCCCACATCCCCGGAATTTTTCTGGGTATTGGAAATTTTTTTCTGAAAGTCTAAACTATGCATCTTGCACAGACAGACACAAACCCACATCCATGGAATGTTTCTGGGTGATGGGGAAAGTTTTCCGAGAGTCTAAACTACACATCTCATCTCGACTTTGAATTATGTATCTCGTCATCTCATCTCACACAGAAAAACACTCTCCCATTACATTGAGACTGCAGGTACAAGCAAAAATATTTAGGGCAAGCAAAACAGTGTATGAACTTTTATTCACAGGTTCTGTTCTAATTGTGTTAACATAGAATAAATTTGATACCATAATTATCCTGAAAAATTCTTTACAAGAAGTTCCAATAAAAGATCCTTAAACAAAATATTTTGACAATATAATTATAGGGACTTCACTCTTTTATACAAAAAAATAAGAAAGTTGTTACTTAAATCAATAAAATCAGTTCTAATTCACACTCTTGGATTCATACTGTAAACTCATATGTGGCATTTTGATTTAATGGGAATGAAACTTTTGCCTCGTAATCAGATATGCCAGTTCAGTATGGAGTTTTTCATTTTCTCTGAAAGCTTCTGGTAGAATTACAGTACAGGTTGTACCTCTCTAGTCCGGCATTCTGTGGTCCGGAAACTCCCGTGGTCTGGAATGACTTTAGTTTGTCCAATAGGTAGATAGACAGTTTTTTTTTTTTACTTATCTGAATTATTATTATTATTACAGGAGTATTAAATTTTTGCCCCTCAGGCCCCAATGTGGGTCAGTGACCTATGCCCGGGTGGGCTAATCCCCTTAAAAAAAAAAAAAAGCCGCGGGAAATTAAGGTTTGTTTACATCCGGCAGTTCGGCTGCTCTCTCTCTCTCTCTCTCTGCTTGTCTATACAGAGTACAACATTTAACCCTTCAATATATATGAGCAGTAAATAAGTGTTGCTTTCATATTCTTATGTAGAGTAATGACGATATGTTTTCACATGTGAGCACTTACATATGCACAGTCTCACTTTTTTTTTTACCATTAATGGTTAGCTACTTATATTGTTCCATTTATTAACATTAAATAACATTACAGGTACTTCAAACAACCATATTAATTTTTTTACATTAATTTTACTACAGCTAAGATCAGGGTCTTATTTTCTTCAGTTTTATATGTAGAACCAATCAGTCACTGGTTGTGTAAGCTCTAACATACAACAATGCCGGCAGCCGTCTCGTCTCCTCTAATATTCCACGTATTATTAATAAATTGTATTGTTAATTTTGCACACACAAACATTAATTCAATAAAAACAAATTCAGAACAGTAAATAAGTGTTGCTTTCATATTCTTATGTAAAGTAATGACGATATGTTTTCACGTGTGCGCATGCACACTTACATACGCGATCTCTCTTTTTCTTTACCATTATCGTTAGCTACTTCTATTGTTTCATTTATTAACATTAAATAACATTACTTAAAACAACCATATTAATTTTACTACAGCTGCAGCCAAGGTCTTATTTTCTTCAGTTTTATATGTAGAACCAGTCAGTCACTGGTTTTGTAATCAACGAAAACAATGCCATGTCATTTCCTCGTGTGTTTTAATATTCTACGTATTATTAATGAATTGTATTGCTCATTTTGCACACATAAACATTAATTCAATAAAAAAGACATTCAGTAAAAAACAATAATGAATCTTTTGTACATAAGAGAAATGACGCTGTTTACACGATTATGCACGTCGTCTGCACGTTGACGGGCCGTTCAAACCTGTCGAAATTCAAGTTTCCGCCGTCAAAATTTTCATTTATTTATTTTTGTGTGTGTTCCAATAAAATACGTTAAGAATTAAAAACTCGCGAAATTTGAGAAGCTACTATACGACATTTAACCCTTCAATATGTCTTCAAAGAGACCATGATGCAGAGAAAGTGGTGCTAGTGCTTCCAAGCATAAGCACAAGTCACTATCTATCCAGGAAAAGGGTGAATTTCCATGGTCCGGCACCGGTCAGGTCCCGAGGTTGCCGGACTAGAGAGGTACAACCTGTACTTCAATTTTAATGTGACTTTTGCCATGCCTCTCTCTTGCACAGAATCAAGTTTTAAGGCTGGGTGGCAACCCGTGTATGTGCAGTGGACCACGCAGTATCAGACAACAAATGCTAGTACTGTACTGTACAGTAATGCTTCTGTCTCAATAAGCAGAGTGTGTCTTGGTCCCAAGCATGATTTAAAAATGGCCACCGTGGCATTAGTCCCGCTATCTCAAGAAATTTGTCTCTTACAACCTTGATATTTATTCTTATGAAGTGATAAAGTGATGTGTATTGAAATATTTATAATGAAAGTGAAATATCTTTGAATTTATGAGACGGTAAAATGGCTACTCACAATACAGGCGCATATACAGTACCACACAAATGAATGTCATAATATATAGGCGTAGCTTGGAAAAATAATAAGTGATAGTGAAATATAGTGCAGTAGAGAATGCATATGGGTATGGTGAATTATAATGAATATTGTGCTTATCTAATATGTATTCGTAACGGCATCGCCATTATCGTGTATATGCCTTGGCTTGCCTCGTCTGAGTGGTACCTTAAGTGAAAATATTATTGCCAAAATTTCAGTTTATGTCACAGATACTTCTAAATGTACAGTAATAATACGTCATAAAAAATACTTTCAAAAGATTTCGACAAAACTATAGCAAAGAAAAAAATGTGTATAAACATACAGGTATCATCGACTGAACGCCTAATCACCATTTATTACAGTGGGGTATGCTAAAACGAACAGATCCTACTACGAATATTCCTATAACGAACGGTTTTACCTATAAAATTGAGAATGCTATAACGAACGCAACTCCTACAACGAACGCGGATGAATACGGGACTATTTCGCCTGGCGCATGAATATTGTTGTACCGCGACCCACAACAAGAGCGTCAGGCGCCATCTTTGTCTCATTGTGTAGCCAGTGCACCACTGTTATTGTTGAAATTTCGTCTTTTGATGTGGAAATTCGCGTTATTTGTATAACTATTTTGTTATACAAGTATACAATTGTAACAATGAGTTGTCCAAAGCGAGTGAGAAAGCTAATAACCCTTGAAACTAAGAAAGAAATTATAAAGAAACGTGAGAATGGAAGGAGCATTGCGAAACTTAGTGATGAATATGGGATGGCTAAATCGACTATATGTACGATTTTGAAGAATAAAGAGGAGTTAAAAACTGTGCAAGTGGCTAAGGGAATCTTTAGACTTAGCAAAGCAAGGTGTAATGTGATTGAAGAGATGGAAAATTTACTCTTAGTGTGGATAAAGGAGAAAGAAATGGCAGGTGGTAACATTAGTGAAGCTATAATTTGTGAGAAGGCCAGACAATTGTTTGAGGACCTTAAAGCCAAGACTCCCAGTGGAAGTGATAGTGATAGTGATGTGCCAGTGTTTAGGGGTACCTGCATGCTGAATAATACTAAGGTAAGATAGAGTACCGTATTTTTTACATTTTCCACAGAATTTTTTCAGTGTTAAGCGGTTGTATTTGGGGGCCTGGAACGGATTAATCCTATAACGAACGAGGTTCTGGAACCAATTACGTTCGTTATAGCATACCCCACTGTACTACTTTTTACATCATTTATTTTCAGATTTCACCATCGTCTTCCTCATTATTTACTCTTTCTTGCCATGTGTATTTTATACTGACTGATGCAATAACATGGGTACAGCATGAAGAGGAATCAACTGTAAACTCTCACTTTTCACTTAAACTTGCCAAAATGACTTTTATTTATTATTGGGGATTTTTTTGAAGGTTTCATGTGATTTCACAAAATTTTTTATGTAGGAATGAATCATTTGAATAAATATTTAACAATATCTTAGCCACGAATAGTGCTTGGGAATTTCTGGTTATTCTGTGGCTCCAACCAGATCGAGTGACAGGCTCATTAAATAAATTACAAGAGTGCCCAAGAGTATTAAGTTAGAAACACCATTATTTTTTTTTTTTTTGCCAAAATGATCTTGAATTGTTAAACTAAAAGATTGATTAAATAACAAAATTTTTAAAAACAAAAAACCTATATGATATGGGCGTGCGAGATATGAATGGAGCTGTGTGTCACAGCAAAGACAATGGAATTTTCCACTCTGCAATGGGGACAATTTTCTAGACTCTACTCCCTCCCCCCTTCACTTATCCCACCTCTATCACACTCTCCTCCACCTTTCACCTCCTATACCCTCAGTAATTATTTAAGTAAAGAAGAACAAGAATAAGAGAAGATTACAGATAAGGTAAGAGAAATCATGTAAAGAAATAAAATAGAGAAATAGAGAAATAAATAAAAGAGTAATTAAAGAATAAATAGAAAATAGAGCTAAGATACATTAAGGTAAGTCTGTGGGAAAAGAGTAAATTTTTCCTCATTCTCTCATGTTACTGATCTGACCTGATGCAATGTCAGGTCACCCATTGTCAGGGTGGGACTCATAACTGAATATGTCTTGAATAAAGATGAAAGGTAAGGTGCTCCAGTGATTCCCACTTATTGAATGTACAGTACAGTATATGTACCGCAACTAGTCACTTTTTACACCTCAACACTGCTTTAAAACTGTATTCTTGGCTGATTTTGTTCTGGTACAGTAATGTACAGCACTGCACAACACAAACTGTATGCAAAAACAGCAGGTAGTGAGGGAACAACCTTCTACAATGGCAGCAGAAAATAAACTAAGCGATCCAAGCAGCTGGGCCACCCACGTGCCTGGCACGTGGAGATGCGTTGAAGCATGATGCATCTCTGGGAACTCCTGGAAATTTTATCCAGACCCAGAATGGAGAGGGTTTTCTCAGAACCTTCATGGAATTTTTTCCAGAAAATTAGCCTAATTTTTATCCTCCAACTCTTTCACAGATCCAGAATGTTGAGAGTTTTCCCGGAAATTTTCCGGCCCAATTTCAATTTCAGGTATTGGAGAGTTCCGGAGATCTGGAATTCTGGCTAACAGAGAGATTGCCAGTACAGTACTTTAAATCTAAAAATAATGACACAGACTGTGTCCCAGACATGATACAGTACCTGTATACGGAACAGACATGCTGAAGCAGTCATCATTTGAGGTAGACTATCTAAAGAAAATCACAACTAAAACCATATTTAACCAAAATCTTGTAAAGAATACGTATTTACAAAGGTTTGTCTCATTATAACGAAGATGTGACTAAAAGTAAAACAATTATACATTATCAGTTTTGTACTCACTCTATGTGGTTTGTTCTGAGCGAAATTTCCAGGTCTCTTAAAACCTGAGTTGATGTAGACTCACCGACCATCTTTCTCTTCTGAAACACAAAGATAATTTTTTGAAAGGTGTATACTGTACTTCCCTCTTTTTAATGTAGTGTTCTACAACACAAGGGACAATAATACAATGATATACCTATCTTCAATACAAACACAACCATAATTATGCAACTTTCATATAAAGGTATCATCCGATATACTGTACAATGGGGGTTACATTTCAGGAAATCCATTTGTGAAGTGAAAAAGCATATAATTGGGGGTTATGCTCCAGACAGGGAAAATGTTGGTCAACTCAGGGATTTCTTACACAAAACTTATGACAGGTTCTGGGTCACTCAATGCTACCACTGCCAAAAATCTGGACACCTTGCTTCAGGCTGTCCTAGGAAGCCAAGTTCTCTAGTTTGTGCAGGCAGTCATGAGTCTAGGACATGCTCAAATAAGACCTCATCCTGCTGTGCAAATTGTTCCACTTTTGCAATACCACCCAAGTCAATCAGTCATTTTGCATCAAGTAAAGATTGCCTTATGATGACTTCCCAACATAAAAAGTGATTGAGAACACTAACTTTACTTGTTCAAAAAACGTTTACTGACCCCACTGAACCTATTAAAAGGAGGTCCCCTTAATACCCGTGCAATCCGAAACAGAATGTGTCGCGTGAATGTTTAGGAGCAAGTTCATCTTGGATATCCTCTATGGAACTGAAACATAGTTGTATGAATCAGACATCAACATTATTCGTAGTGCTCTTCCCAAGACATTTTCTTGTTCATGTTCCCAGACCTGCTGCAAGAGCTCCCGGTGGCAGAATTTATTCTGTGCCCCTGCTAAACATTACACTCATTAGTAGTGACTGTTTTTTCCTCTTTTGAATTTATGGAGGCATTAGTAAATCTCCATCATCAAGTTATCAGAAATGATATTGTTTATTGTTCTGATCACTCAGGTACATACTGTATGGGGAGTTCGTGGATGAATTTAGCTTGCTTCTTGAAACTTTCTCAGGAAAGAACATATGATGGTAGATCTATGGTGACTTTAATTATTAAGTTGACAATCCACATCTGAAACCATTTACCTCTGACTTCTTTGAAATTCTCAATCCAAACAATTTTGCCAATCATGTGTCGTGTGCAACACATCTTTCTAGTTTTGTCTCTTGCTGACTGTGATCGTGTCTTAGATGTTGCAGTTGACCTGATCGATCAAAACGTCTCTGACCATGCTTTGGTTACTTTTGATTTTAATGTCCCAAGTCCTGCTTCTTACAGTAAAAAAATTACCATCAGGAACTATAGAAACACTGACCAGACCATGATTGATCAGGAAGTTGATCATTCTTTGAACTGGGTTGACTCTGCTGTTTTGTCCTCTGATGAGGTCACAAAGATACAGTACAGTATGAGATGACCATGGTATAACTCGCCTACAAGTTCTCTTCGTAGGGATCATGGGCAGCAAACAGACCGTATTACATACGAGTATATGACTGCGCATAGGGCTGTTGTTTATTCAGTGAGGGCACTACAAAAGTCAAGTAGCCTCATATCGCAATGATCAGAAAATTTTTTATGCAGATATGAATGGGCTGTTGGGCCAGAGGTCTGGAACTACTATGCCTTCTTCCACTTCAGATACAGTACTCAGTTTGCCTCAGATTTTTCCTTGTTTTTTCTAAAAGATTTCAAGGTACAGTAAAAGAAATGGCCTTGATTTTGTTTGTTTGAGGAATTTTCAGTTGAATTTCAACCGAGTTACACCATAAACCTCATTCTCTCATCATTTTGTCCTGTACGAGTGAAAAACATTCTGCACTGTATCAAGGAATCAGAGATGACTTTTGTTGTCTTGATCCTGTAAATGTACCTTAGGTATCACTCGCTTATGAATATGCTGCAGACTTAATTTGTAGAATCATAAGTACAGCTACTCCTCGATTTACGACCTACCCGACTTACGACCACCCGAACATACGACCGCCCCAGTCATACCAAAATTTTTTCAAATTACATATTTTCGAGTCCCGACGTTAGAGATTGCGCTGTGTACTGACAAAATTTTCGTTTGTAATTCCCTTTAAAATTGCTGGCATGCTTAAAAGTGAGAATTTTGTGGTGCTGAGAAGAAAAAGAGACACCCATTTTAGATTTTCTATGCATTACCTTTGCATTTTTTACTTACAACCAATTCGACTTACGACCGGGATTTGGGTCCCTAACCCTGTCGTAAGTCGAGGAGCAGCTGTAAATGCTTTGCAGAGGGTAATTTTGTGCTATCTGAGAAACAGGATTAATTCATCCACTTTTTAAGAAACCTGATCTTGATATTGAAAATATGTGAATACAGTATCTCTCATTCTTATCAACTAGGGGAGTGTTAAACAAGCAGCCCTGCAGCCCAACACCCTCTTACATGCAGCCCGTGGCCCACTGGCTCCTCCAGCTGCACCTTGAGCAGCTAAGAGCCTAAGGCACTAGCACAGGGGTGGGCAACCCTTGGCACGCGTGCCAAACATGGCACGCTAACGGCTTCTTTCCGGCACGCGAGACCTGGGCTCACCTCAATAAAAAAAAACCTTTATATGGCAACCGCATGCTGCCTTGGCGGCAGCGGGTGGAAGGATTGTTTCCCGTTCTGTTGTTAAATAATTAGCCATGCGGCCAGACGTGGTGTGACTCCTTTACCATCATTAATATTTTATATATTTTTTCGAGTTTTGCAGTTTCGCAAAGAATTTATCGGTTAGCAAAATCCAAGTTCAGCTATATGAATGTTTAAATTTAATAAAAAGAAAAACAAATATTACACCAAGATCTGTAATAATTATCTGGCTATCAGAGATTGCATTAGAAACATTATATCAAAAGTCAACCTCTTTTAGATCACTGGGTCATTATATGGCACATTAACTTAAAAGGTGTCTTAACTTTCATGGAAGGGAACATGGCTTTTTTGCTCAGTGTCCCATAAATGTCACATGCATATCCGTTCTCTCTAATCATTGTTCCTCTGGTGGTGAATGTGTGAAGTGTGAACCAGCAAAGTAAACATAGCAAGAGGGAGAATCGCTGACCACGTGCAAGTAAGTTATTATTTACTGTCCAAATTATCAGCTGTCATAGTGTTTGTCATGCTTACCCATAAATTTATCGATGTTCCTAAGACACTGCTGAATCTGTATACTCCTGTGCACAAGGAAAATTTGGCGCAACTTACCTTAGCAAGGCGATTTAAATTTTGCCCCTAAAATGTGACCTTTTTTAAGCTGAATAATGGATCTCAACCCGCTTAAGTGAGTAAAGCAAACCTTTGCTGAAAATTTTATGAACTTGTTGGTAGTGAGTATATTTATGGAGCGTGACATATCTGGCACACTGGTCAGAAGGTCCAAAAGAGGTTAATGAAGCCTGTTCTTCAGCATACTGTATGTGCCATAAACATAAGTTATTATTAAAGCTAAGGGAAATGTATTATTAATATTCAGGATTATGAAGTGTTATCTGCACGTGATCAGATAGCATGCATGCCTTTCTCGTTGATTTGCATTGTGTAGGCATGCCTATAATTGTACCAATTTATTTTATTTTTTATTTTTTTTATTATCCACCAACTGATTTTCATAAACCTTGGTATATGTATGCAGAGAGTGATTGTGAAGAGAATGTCTGAGTCCACAAGTCTCTGTCCACATTTTTACACCCCATGAACCGGTTTTGGTTATATTTACTTTTAACACCAACAGCTATTTCATCTTTTTCGTGTGGTTATATAGTAGAATACATTAATACAAGACTATTTTCTTTTGTAACACTTTTTGCCAAAATGTATAATAACCGAGATATTATTTTTTTTATAATAATGCTTCATAAAATAATAACTCAGGTATTGTGCATTTTGGCCAAAGGTGTTATAGAAGAAAATAATCTTGTATTAAGCATTCTACTATAATACTATGTGAATACAGAATATATATATACAGATTTATTTCTTTATTTATATTTTTTAATAATTTATAAATTAATGTCTCGGTTATTATGCATTTCTACCAAAAGTGTTACAAAAGAAAATAGTTTTGTATTAACGCATTCTACTATATAACCACACAAAAATCATGAAATAGCTGTTGGTGTTAAAAGTAAGTATAACTTAAAGTTGGAAAGTGTGCGAAGAGAGCAATTATTTTTTTACACATCATATGATTGCTTTCTACCCCTTATTTACAGATTGTACAGAATGTCACGACCACCAGCCAAGAAACGATGTCATACAAATGAAGAGGATATTAGAGAATTTAAAGAATACTGGACTGAAAAATTTGGCATGATTAAGAAAGATAATAAAGCATTATGCATTTTATGTTCTGAATCAGTTGTTTGTAGGACTTCTTCTGTGAAGAGACATTTTGAAACTGTTCATAAAAACTTAAGTAATGTAACTGAGCAAGAACGAAGAGAATTAATTTCTCGTGAAATGATTAAGACAAAAAAACAGTCTGATGTTTTGATGAAATTTATTTCAGGTAGGCCAAGTTCCAACTTAGTTGCTGCTGGTTTTGAGGTTTCAAAAGTTATTGCCCAACATGGAAAGCCACTCAGTGATGGGGAGTATATTAAAGAAGCATGGCTAGAATGTGCTCCTTTCCTTTTTGATAACCTTTCAGAAAAGGACAAGATTATTCAGCGCATTAAAGATTTGTCTGTGAGTAGAAAAACAGTTAAGGATAGGATACTTAAGATGGAAATGAATACAACTGACCAATTAACAAAGGATTTAGCTTCATGTAAGTTCTTTTCTATTTGTGTTGATGAAAGCACAGATATTACATCATCAGCTAGGCTAGCAATTTTTTCTCGATTTTGTAGGGATGATGAGGTATGCGAAGAGATGATTAACCTTGTAACACTACCTGAGCGTACCACTGGGGCTGACATATGTAAAGCAGTTGTGAACGAATTATCTATTCGACAAATTGACATTTCAAAAGTAGTATCCGTCACAACAGATGGTGCACCCAGTATGATTGGTAAGGAA